CTGCTGCCCTGTTTCACTACATCTCAACCTGAAAGCTTAAGCTTGCGGAAAAGTTCCTCCTCGTCGACGATGTGCTCGTACTCCTCACTCGGTGGTCCGGTCTTTTTGACCAATTGAAGAATGCCCATTTCGGAGATTATGTAGTCAATAAAATCCAATCTTAGTGCCTTGACTTCCTGAGTTTGAGTCGTCTTCTTTCTAGTCTCCTCCCGAACCTGACGAATGTAGTTCTTGCGAGCAGCATCAACGCTTGTATGCTTTTGACGCCTGTGGCAGTTCTGGATATGAATATCCGCCTTTGTACGAACTACGATGCATTCTTGCCTCATATATGCACAAAGCTGCATAATGCTGATATCGAGCTGCAATTAGTAATCAGTATTCTAGACAGTTCTTGCAGCTGGGGAAAAGCGTGATTATACTAACCTCACTTAGAGTAGCAGAGTGTACAAGCAAGATCTTATCATAGGCATAGAGCTTCTGTTTATAGTAGTAACCCCAAGCTGAGAACCTCTCAGTTCCTCCTCCTGGAATATCATGCCAGACCATCCCACTGTGCTCCTCATCTACGTACGCTTTTGCAACCCTGGTAGTCTCTGACTCAGTGACCTTAGCATTGCGGACGTCGCGGTCGTCATCGATGCCTCTGAAACAGTTCACGAGCGTCGACTTCCCCTCATTCTGCCTCCCAACGACCCCGACATTAGTACAGCTCTCAACATAACCAACAGCGAGTCTTGCGTTGCGAATATCTTCTTCGGTGATCTTTCGAGTCGGTTCAACGCCTCTAGTACACGCATTCTATCATTAGCTCCATTATAAGGTAACTATCATATCAGGGGCAAATAATCGAAAATGAAGACGATGGGTGAGATGGTAGAGGACTTTGGCTTACAATTCTCGAAGTCTCTTTTCCTTCATAAATCTCTGCTCGGCCTCCTCGCGCTTCATTACCTCTTGCTCCTGGGCTTCGGCGGCTTCGGCGGCTCGTTGGTGGGCATCCTCTTTAGCAGCCCGTTGCTCCTTTTCCGATTGCTCGGCTTCCTCAGCGCGCTTGGTGGCCTCCTCTGCCTGCTTCTGCTGTTCCTTAAATTTCTCCTTGAATTCTGCTGCCTCTATCTCCGCAGCCCTCCGACGACGTATCTCATCCGTATTACCGTTACCTCCAACTGCTTGCAGGACCAGGGCCGCAGCTCCAAGGATCGCAGCAGCAGAGCCTTCGAATTGAATCCGGCCGGAGCCGGTGTTAATGTTTGCTCTGCCGCCCCAACCCGCCATACTGTTTGTTTGGGGTTTATCTTGAATGCCAAAAGTGGGAACGGGTGCAGTCTGGGTGTGAGTGGGCGGGGTTGCGGCTTTCTCTTGGAACGGATCACTAGGGAGGCTGGGAATGTTCCGGTCTTGAGATAGATCTACAAAGGTGTATGTCGTCTCTTCAACAACTAGCATATCAGGAGATGAGTCGTCCGAGAAATATATCTGATCGGTGCTCTCTTGCATTCTCAGGGGTTTTATATGCTTCTCGATAATATTTTCTTGGTTGAAACGCGAAAATTCGGATTCGTTTCATCCACAGCCTGGTCCCGATCATACTTATAGACAGACCTATAGGCCTCAAAATGTGGTGCCAACAAAGCCCATCGCCCGGTTACTATGGAAGGTTGCTGCCATTGGTCATGATCAGATGGGCATGCATAAGCTTGGGCAATGTGTGGCGCCCGACAGCAAATAGGGATGTTAACCCATGCATCACGCCAAACTGAGAATGTCGACAACCGATATAACTGGCCCATGTCGGCCGTACTCTGCCTTAGGCACTGGACACCCAAGCTTCTGCCTGACATTTCCTAAGGCAATAAACGTATTATGGAGGATTTGTATGGGCATCATGGGCCATACGTTTTTGTTTCCTCTTTCTTTCAGGATGGCTAACTCGTTGCATAACATATTTGCAGAAAACTCGTAAAGACCAGATTTAACCTCCAAGCTGAAATCCGAAGTTCCTAGCTAATGCGAGTGTCGCAGAATCCTGCATTCGATCGTGTTCTTTTCATCCTACGGCGAATAGATATGCCCGACTTTGTTTCCCCTGCTCTCAAGTGGCTCCGTCTAGCAAACGATGATTTACCAGACATCGTTTTCAGTTGTCTGGCTGCTGTTGTCGGCAGTACCTTCCTGGCACTCCACCTCAACGTTCCGCCAATACATCCTCAGAGCCAATCCACCGTTTACCTTCGACGATGGTGGAATGCTGCCGCAACCCGCCAAGTTCGCCGCCAGCTTGTCTGGACAGTCATGGTCATATTCGCTCCAGAATTACTTGCAAGCCTGGCATTTGGGGCCTGGCGAGCCTCATCGGTCGGTTCGAGTATATTCAAGGAATTCGGCCTCGGAAACGTAAAAGATTGGAGTAGGCGGCATGCCGGTTTCGCGAATATGGGCGGAATTAAGTTTCAAATGTGTCGTGGGGGTGAAGAGATGCCAGACACGACAGCGATATATGAGTGCCGTAAGCTTCTATATCACTTGCTAAGCAGCAAAGAGAGGGAGTATACAACACTACAAGAAATCAATGGTACTGTTCACGATACAAAGACAGGACTCTGCGCATGGACGGAGCGGAAGTCCACGACCGTCATGGCCTTTTTGCAGCCCTTAACCAAAACTTTCTCGAGAATTACTCGGAGTCGCTCCAACAAAGGGAAATCGTCAGTGCGGACTGAGATAGAGCTAGGTTACATTCCACCCGGCCTAGAAAGATCTAATCAATTCTCGCAAGTGGACATATCTGGCGCCACATCGGCGAGTGAAGAAACGGTAGCAGACCCCACTGATGTCTTATATCAAGACACAGTGACTCCACCCAGCGTCAGAAGGGGGTCACTAGACTTTAGGCAGGCAATTCCCGCTGATATCGCCAGTTTCGATTTCTGGAACGAGGAGATCACCATCGACCACTGGACAGATTCAACTACAAACATCGTTAGCACAAGCAATCAAGCAAGCTTGCCTAGTAGGAGCCTTGGCATTGATCACATAGTTGAACCACTTTCTCGTGTCTCTAGTTGTAACGATACAATTGCCCTCTACTTGAATGCCACGCAAATTGTCGTTGCGCAGCATTTAAGCTTGGTTGACGAGGGTCCAGCAATTAGCAACGAGGACATTCAGGATAGAGAAAAGACCGGTACCTATGCTAGAATCTTGATCGCTTTTCAATTACTGTGGTTTGCCATACGTGGTATCACGCAGCTTTGCCTTGGTCGGTATCCTACGCAAACAGAGCTCGCAACCTTAACATACGTCATCTGCGCCTTGATCGCTTATGCACTGTTCTGGGTTAAACCTCAGGGTGTTGAGCGGCCTATACAACACACTGTTCGAGCGTCCCCAAATCTGCGCCCAGTAACCACCCAGGATATATTCTGGCTCAACCGATACAGCGGGTCGCCTTTTCTGGAACGCAACTTCGTCCCTCCTTTTGGCATGGACAACAAGACACATGATGTTACGAAACCGCCACCTACTGATTTATCGCTTACTTTCTTCACGACAATAGGCGCTCCGGATGACGGTGTCCTGTTGATGGACGACGACTTTGCGGGTATTGTTGTGGGGATGATATTTGGGGCGCTCTATTGCCTCGGGTGGAATCATACTTTCCCTTCAACCTTCGAATTATGGGCATGGCGTATAGCCTCCATCATTATCACGGGCTCCCTAATTCCATTTGCCTTTGTGAATACGGTATGTACACGGGCTTCTCCCCAGTATGGAATGAGTCAAGTCAACCCCATAACGCACTCTGTGCATATTCTGTCGCTATATACACTTCTTGGTCTGTATGTGCTATGCCGAGGTTTCATGTTGGTTGAAATGGTTCGAGTACTCTCTATATAAGCTTCTGGACTGATCTCCATGTGGCAATCTTTGGTCAAACGGCAAAAATAAGAGTCCATGGCGTCGGTGTTGCAAGTCTCTGATTTCGAATGTATCTCATGGGGGCATTTTCTAGAAGAGGTTGGGGACTATAGCGTTGGAGACTATCAATAAGGCTAACAGGCTCTGGATTGTGAGTATGATGAAAACATCGGTTGCGATCAACTACTGACTTAACCATCAGCAGCTCACTCAGGCAGATGAGAACGGGGAAGACAAAGAAGTCGAGGAAGACGAGGAGGAGAATGAGGATAAGCGAGCAGTTGTTATACTAGATTAACCCTCTATATCTACACCTTAAGTCGCTCTGTGAAATGAAAAGAAATCTGTGGTCCGCTTCGGACTCGCTAATGTAACCATTCCTCCCGTAAACGCCAAATGAAACGAAGAAAGTAGGCTGGAGTACATTGACCAATGTACCGTGGGGCTAAGGGTACGAGCCACTAACCTGATTTGGTGAATTTGAGGGTTATGCAACAGTCACCCCTGTAGCCTACCATACTCAACCATAAGCATCCTAATTAGCCGGAAGAGGACGAGGAAGAAGAAGAAGATGATGAAATAATTAAGCAGTAGCTATATCGAGTCAAACCATTATGTCCACACATTAAGCTGCCCTGGGCGAGCCAGAAATGAAAGAGCCAGCGGAATCGAGAAATGTAGGCTTAAGTACATCGAACATTATACCGTGGGGCCATGGACGGGTGCTGAACGGATTCAGTGTATTCTTCGTGAATTTAGGGTTTTGCAACAGTCACCCCTTGTAAGGAAGGTGAGGTCTAGTCACATATGCAAGGTGAAGAACAAGAGGGGGTCATTTATCTATTACCCCCAAGCTAGGTGTATGTAGGTTCTAAGCCTACTGCTTGCCGATCGGTCTCCGACCAAACGGCGGTGAGGCATTTATATGTAGCTATAGGAGGGTCTGTGCCCTCTGTTGAGGCGTAGACCTGTGGTTTTACTGCCATAGCCACAGCAAGGAGGCGATATCCTTACACCCCTATAGCCTGCCATAGTGGATTTCTTGATTAAGTGTTGTCACATAGTGTATAGTAGATATCTAGATATCTGGTGGTCTAGATGGGACCATTGACAGGTAAGGCCAGCTGACAGATGATTATTATAGTTTATATAATAGTTTATATAGCTATAATAGAAATTTTACCTAAATACTAGCTAACGCTACTATACTATTTTATCTCTTATCATATAAAAGCCTTACCAATAATTCTTTTATAATAACCTAAAGATGATATATCCTTCAGCATGATTTAGTTTTGGGTTGTGGCGCTCGTGAGAAGCTAGACAGGTGGGCATGTGCGTGAGGACACAGGAGAGCGTGTACTTACGGGGAGGATGAGTGAGACATTAGACCACGCCAGCGCCGCATACGGCTGGGCGCTGAGAGCGGCCTTGACTTTCGGGTCAGCCCAGAGGAGAAACCTGGCTAGCTTCTCAACCTGTCCTCGCATCTTTATATCCTTGTTCAGAAGCGACACTCGCCACTGCTTCTTCTCGCGAACTGTCAACAGGTGCTCCACCACTTGTTCAACAGACCGCGGGGCGGACAGATCCACACTGCTGTCTGCATCATCCTGCAGCTCGGCCAAATGTTTCCAGTAGTCCGTCATTATCTCAGGCTCTCTATATCGACACAGATTGAAGGCGTGAGCCCACAGATCACCATCGCAGCCAGGAGAGGTCGCGGTAGGCTGGGTAGGAGGGATCGGGACAAGCGATGTGGGACGGGCATCTTGGAGCGGAGAAACAGGCGGTGTATTTTGCTCGGGAGATGGTTGATCGACATTTGACGACACAGACAACGTCTCGGCAGGGTCAGTGGTCGCGGTCGTCATACCAGCGGGTAGGGCTAGGTCTGTTCCTAGGGCGCCTCCGCTGGGTCTGCCGGCCGCCGTTTGCTTCAGCCTCCTCCAACGCTCTTTGAGTCGCGACGCAATCATGGTGTCTAAAAGGATGGCTACACCGAAGACTATCAATGACTGCCGACAGAGGTTGTTTTTCGATGAGATGATTACGCATCCAGCCTTGCGGCTGAGATCTCCTAGCGCCAGTCGCAGGGACCAATGGCAGCTGGCAGTACTAGCATAGTACACACTGCGAGAAGAGACATTTACGACAGCTGGGGGATTGACGTCTCCATATATAACCACTAGATAACAGTTTCTTCTCTTCTGAACTTCAAGACAAATAGGTTTAGGAGTGAGAACAAGTAGCGACTAGGATTATCACAGCACGATGGGAAGCGCCAAGCAGTCCTGCGCTAGTCAGAGGACGGCGATGGGTACCCCGTACGAACTAACAGCGGCCCGAGCCGCTGCCGCATGTTTGGGGGTTTGTCGCTCACGTGATATTTTTGTTTTTCATCCCCCACCTAGAACTCAGAAATTTTTGACCGCACAGGAACTGGACAGCCAACATCATCTCGCAAGCACTGAACACTTTCCTGGACGAGTGCCCCCCAATAAACATGGGACACCACAACCGACACTTCGCTGGCGATCGCTATGCTTTAAGCGGAGCTTGGAGTCCGCCAACAAGCAAGGCAAAGTAAGAATAAAGCAACCAAACTAGAAGAAAGATCTAATCTGAGGGATGAATAGTTTCTGCGAAGAAGACTATATTGTTACCGAATATGTTGCTGAATTCATCAACTCGTTGACCAATCTAGTCTATGGTATGCCCAAGTTCCGAAGTCCAAGAGGTCCCAACAAGAGAGATTGGGCCTGACGAGCGCATCTTCACCCTAACAAGCGGCTAGTATATTTTGCACTCCGGTACATGTACGGCCCTGGTAGCCATGGTCTTTTCGCACCAAAGTCGGATTTCATGTCGGCATCTCTCCTCGTCCTCGGCATTGCGTCGTTTCTTTTCCATGCTTCCCTCCGACAAACTCTCCAGTTTGCTGATGAGCTCGCGATGCTCGGCCTTACCTGGTCCCTCCTTCGAGGCGTTTTAACCGTACCACGCTCGTCCGCTTACAATCGTATCATAAACACCGGCCTTGCTGTTGTCTTTCCCGTCTTTTCGGCATTTTATGTCTGGACTGGGAAAATTATATATCATGTAATAGCATTTGCCATCACCATTGTTCTGATAATCGCTAGATGTCACTACCTGTTCTATTGGCGGGTCCCCAGGTTCCCGAGAGATAAGTGTACTGGGTGGCGAGTCCGTGGACGACATGCTCTCGTCATTCTGATTGCTGGTTATGCCGTTTGGAACATAGATCTTGAGTATTGTGCAGAACTCAGGAGGATGAGGAATTGGATGGGACTTCCCTGGGCCTGGCTCTTTGAGCTTCATGGGTGGTGGCATATCTTGACCGCTATCAGCGCAAGTCGGTTCATGGAAATTGTGCGAGAGGTGCAAGATGAACTGAGAAGCGACAAGGAGGAATAGTGGGAATATCAATGGAAAGTCCTAGCGGACTCGTCAACGCTCACTATTGTCTTTATAGGTAGTCAAAGAGGCAAAGTAATGTGGTCTATGAGCAGAGGATGGGCAATGACGGTCTAAATTGGGTCATTTATAGAAGACATTGGATTAGATAGGTTTTGAAGGAAGCTCAGACTAATTCTCCATATGCAACGTCATGCGAAGCCATGACGGACTGTATGTATACCTGACCGAGGATAACGATTGCCGTGTACTAATTCCACAACCGCTTGATAATATCACCATGGTGAGCCGGCGACAAACGCTGGCATTGGAGCGGTGCTTGGAAAAGAGGGGCCACGTTGGGCTTGAGCCGCCCTGGCCCCGGGCCGTGCCGCTACGCGAACATTCAAATGTTTTGGATCTGGGGGACGCTGTTCTCCTACAACGCGTGAGATAATGTATTATTCGCAATTTTGCCGGCAACGGAAAACCACCGCTCTAATCCCCATAGGAGAAGGATCTTACTCTCTTTAAACGCAGTCAGCCCTGCGAGTGATTACCCCAGGGTACCTCAGATGGGCGAGTTCTTCTTCTACTTTCTAGACGAGTACCTTCTGCGTGACACCGGATGTTACCACCATCGTAATGCATTGCTACTCACTGCCCGTGTTGGCCACAGCGCGACCTTTGATATTCTTAGTTTCTTTCTCGTAAGTGGATTTAAGAAGTGCACAGTCAGTAAATTTCTATCTCCTAGATACTAACAGAATAGTTTGATAGTTTAAAATTGGGAAAAGTATTTAGAAGCAAATAGCAGCCAACTACAATCGAAAAAGCATAATTATGACGCGACGTCTTCTCCTGCGCACAATTCGTTGAGAGCATCTCATAAATCCAAAGAATTATGCTAGTGCCACGCGCACGCCTTCTGTGGGAGATAATCCGATAGTATAGGTCTGTTTCTCTACCCCGATCGGCTCATTTGTGACTCCCGGGGCGAGACGAAGACCGGGATACGCCTGGAGAATGCGAATCACGGCATAGCTCGCCTCCATCAAAGCAAAGTCCTCTGTGTAACAGTCAGTAAGCTAAGCTACCTTGTTGAGGAACGGCCGGGATTTACTTACTTCCTAGGCAGAGTCTCGGACCAGCATTGAAGTCTACGTAGCCGGCGCCCGGGCGAGCCTTCTTAAGGAGCTCGCCACTCTCCCATCTCTGCGGCCGATAGACACCAGAGTCTGGGCCATAGATGGATTCGAGGCGGTGCAAATGATAGATGGAGAAAGCGATTCCGGACCCCTTGGGCAGCATTACGGGCGATTTGCCATCCGGTCCACCGCCTCGAGGAAGGACAGTGGTTTTGTTTGTGAAGCGGAGGTTCATCGGTAGGCTAGGGTAGAGGCGTAGGGCTTACAAGTTGTCAGTCTGTAAAGAGCCACGAGCCGTGGAAATAATGAAAAAATGAAAACCATACTCTCGTTGAGACAGCATCGGAGAAAAGGCAGTTTCTGGATCTGCTCTCGGGTGATGTGGCCACTCGAGGGGGCCGAAGAAACCTCCTTCTGCAGCCGCTCTAGAACGTCCGGGTTGCGCACGAGATGGAAGCTAATAATGCCACAAACTGTGTTAGCTTGCTTGCTGGGAGGCAGTGATGGTGTATAGAAATTGGGAAACCCACAAAGTCCAAGACAGCAGGCTTGCTGTCGAGTCGCGTCCCGCAACAAGAACGTGCAGCAGCTGGTCACGCACCAGATCGAAATCCTGCATCTCCTTCCACAGATCGATGATGAATGCGTACTTCTCCGAGGCGGCCTCCTCTCCAAAATCGTCTTTATACTTGATTGCTTTGGCCGCAAAGAAAGTCGCCCACTCACGTACAGCCTTGCAGGCTTTGCGAAGTCTGGGAGGGTTGTACAGCCAGGCGCCGTCGGAGAGCCGAACACGAATACCAACACCAAAGGCAGCGTAGTCAAAATTATCCCGCACTGCATCCCGCTGCGACTTCCCCATGCTGCTATGCGGCTCGCCAAATAGGAGCATCGTGGTGGTATTGAGCGTGTACTCAAACATGAGCGGCTTTAGGTCCACCACCATGTCGTCCCCGACGGCATCAGCGATACCTGAAAGGAGCTCCTCGACGTGCGCCGTAAAGGCCTGGGGCGTCTGCTTCTGCACGCGGACGAACTGACGTCGGATCAAATCGCGGGACCGCTTCCAAGCCGGCCCGTCCTGCGTAAATATGCCCTCGCCAAACAGCGGTAAGCCGGCCAAGCGGCGGCTTCCGATATTGTAATCCGCAAAGTGGGTGGAAAGAATTGTCTCGATGTTTTCGGGATCGGTGGTAAAGTAGCCGGTTATGCCAAACAGATGGATGCAGCACGTAGCCGCGATACCAAAATATGGCGTCAGGCCTTCAAAGGTATGGTCGCTAAACAGAATTTCATATTGACGCTTGAGGAGGTCGAGGGCGAGCGGCCACTTGTACGGTACGAATGCGAGGATGGGCTGACAGTTATACTGTTCCGCAATCGCTGCGTCTTGCTAGTGGCCACGGAGGAAGCACCCATCTTGTTAGAAACTAGCACCGTGACTGGGAGGGCGGCCTCGTTCGGACCATCGAGAGGTTGCTTACCTTCTTACGATCTCTAATCCCAGCGAAGACATACAAACAGAGCGCTAAGAGGGTGGTCACAACAAGCACGTGCAAGTGCAAGGTGACATGCTGATCGTCACGATTCTCACCAGGACCCACTGGTCCCACATGTGCAGTCGACATGATCGGGGCACTGTGAAACACGGATTGAGAACTTATATCAGATTTGCATGTAGGGAAGGAGGAAAAGGGCTAGAATGAAGATGGAGATAGAAAATCGCACCTTTGGGGGGGGATCGAAAAGCTTGCTGACCGTAAGGCGGTCTATATGCATAGCCTCCACATATGCCATGTCTCTACGGGATTTGGTTCAGCTGGACCTCCAAATTACATTCCACATGTCCAATAAGCAAGCATTTGGCCAGCCACCAGTGGTTGTTGCGACACGGCTCGAGAATAGAAGCACTCATCATTGGATAGCACACGCAACAAGGCTGCATGAAGCCCCACCTCGGGGATTGGTGGCGGACGGGCTGAAGGGTTGACTCTTGGATATGTAGAGCACGGCGATCGTCTCTCCCTCTCTATTCCCAAGTTCCATCATTGTCTTCGACTCTTTGCTGGCAATAGAACAATAGATCTACGTTTCTTATATCTTTGGCAGCGTAGGCCTATTTAGCAGGCTCGGTACTGGTAACATATTGAAGGACCTCCGGGCTACTCAAAGCGCCTTGGAGAAGCTCAATCTTGGTTACCTCAACGCGCAACCTGACGTAGGCGGCCTTATCGAACAGATAATCGATCTCACCGATATTGTCCGTTCATTTCAACATCTCGCCACTGCGGAGCAACAGGGTCCCTCAGTTTTCCTCAAGTTTCGACCAGCAAGCGACCTGCTGCGAATGTGTGCGCAATGCGGCAATGTGGTACAGTGGCCCGCCTCTGCTTCCATCTCGCCGTTCACCCATCCCCTCATTGTCAGGGGTAGACGACCATGTGCGTCGATCTGCCCTCCATGCAATCCTTCGTCATCCATCATCGAGCTTGTTAGTATCGTCTGCGGTAAGCTTTGCGCACGACCGGCCAATCTAGAGAGTGTTCTCCTTTCGAGCCCGACAGCGGAGCGTCCTATGATGAACCTGCACAGCGGATGCCGCGTCGGGGCATCCGCCATGGTATACGCCATATCCACCACCAAGCTCCTCCTCGTCGTCATCGCCATTGTCTCCATCCGTGTCGCTGCTTCCACCAACATCACCAAGGTCGACCGGGCTCTACCGCGTCGGACGTCGATACTTGTGCTTTATTAGGATGGCCGGATCGCTGACAGGGTCGAGGGGTGTTGTCTCGGCGGGCGGTGCATCTCCAAAGCTCTTCTCGATGTCGCGGACCAGCTCCTGGAGGTGGGAGATGGGCAGACGGACCGTCTGCTTGAGGCGCGCTATGCTGGCGTGGCTGTCCATGTTGGCAAAGTCTTCGAGCGCAAAGGAAATATCGGTCTGACCGTCGTTGCCGTCGATGTCGCTGCAGCACATGCGGCCGTCTTTCTGCACGAACTGCGGAGTGTCTGTCAGTAAGGCGAAGACACTCGATCCAAACAGTGACAAGGTGATGAAGAGAGGGTCAGAGAGGCTTGAGAGAATGGGAAACACTCTGGCGGAAGGACGCAATGGACATACCTTGTCGACCACCGTCGTAGCCTCAAGCGCCCTTTGGTTAGAGGAGGCGCTCTTCTCCGACAGCATAGGGGCCATGGCAGCAACGCGGACGTCGCCTCCCACCAACACCTGGTTGGGCGAGACGTGGTGCATCTTGAGGACCAACACCTTGCGCAGCGCAGGGTACAGCCCGAGGAGGTAGGCTTCAGCCTCCTCTAGCACGGCGTCCCAGGACTGCGACAGGGCGACTAGGCAGATGACGGTTGGGCACTTTGCTGGGTGCTGGGTGAAGGAGCCGTCGGGGCTCTTGAAGGAGCCGCTGGCGAGCTTGACGGCGCCTGGGCCCATGAGCCTGACGTCTGCCAGGAATGCACGGAGCTCGTTCCGGTCGTGCTGCTGCCGTTTCTCCTTGTTGTCCTCATGCCCATGCTCTGAAATCTGATCCTTGGCTGTGGTGACAAGACCATTCATATCCCCGCCGAGTTCGTGGCTTCGACAATGGCCTGCTGCTGCTGCTGCTGTTTCTGCTGCTGAAGCTTCTAGCTGGTCGGCTTCTAGCTGGTCGGCTTCTAGCTGGTCGGCTACTTTGCTGAGGCCTGACTCGAGCAATTTCTGGAGCAGGATGCCTGTACGTGCATGAGCGCCACTTTCAAGCATGATGGTGAGGATCTCTGAATCGGTGTTGTAGTCGTATCTATTGGCAAAGGAAGAAAAGCTCGGTCAGTGAAATGGGACAAAAGGAAGCAGTGGTAATTAGTAAAAGAGGTAGCTTGTAGAGGGGGATGGAGGTGTGTCGCCCATCACTACCACCGCATGCACAGAGTGCAGTGAGAAGAAAGAAGTGCAGGCAAGGGCTATTCATGCTATGCTATGCTGGGCCAGGTCGGGCCAGACTGTGGTGTGCGGTGGTGTGGTGTGGTGTAGTGTGCTGTTGAACTCACCTGATTCTCTGTGCTTCAAAGACAAGAGGAAGAGTGGCTTTATCAAAAGCCACACGGGGAATCCTGAAGGAGACATTCCAGTCAGAGGAATCGGAGGCAAGCTGCCGCAGGTGGTCCATCAGGCCTGTGAGGACGTGACCATCGTGGCCCTGCCCATCTCCAACACCACCGACACCACCACCATCAGCATGCCGTTTGGGAACTGCAGCAAGTGCGCCAGCTACATCCATCGCGGGATCCTTGACTTTTTGCCCGTGGAGGCCCCGTTTGGAGGCACGTGTCGATGCGAGCCGGTAAGAGTTGGTGCGAGTTGAAACCAGGGCCTGGGGGATGAATGGCAAACGAGAAGAGAGAGAGAGAATGAGTGTGGCGACTGGCAGCTGTCTTTTGTGTGAAGCTGGACAAGACAGCCAGTCGTTCATATTTGTTTGTTGTTGTGGTGGACGAGAAGGTGAGCAGCTGCAAAGAAAACAGACAACAGACACCAGACAACCCCCGGCGCAGACACAGGAGGGTGAACTCTCAAAAGGACCGATGTTTATCCGGCACAGCGCAGCAGGCCAGGCCAGGCCAGGGCATGAGTTACCTTAGTTGTCCGCGCTCACCCGACAGTTGGAGTGCAGACCCTTAGAATAGGTAGGTAGGTCGATACCTGAGGTAGACATGCGAGGTGAGCTTGTACGAGACCTTGTTGCTAGCGCGGTGGAGAGCCGCGCCCACCTCAGCCCTTCAGCCCTATGCACCTGCATACCCACCTAATCTCGAGCTAGTGTAGCTCCCTAGCGTGCATGTTTGTGGGGGTGCTAACATACGATGTTGCGGGAGATCTACACTACCAAAAGCCCGTTACATCTGCTCCACCTGCAAACCCCGACCCCGACCCCGATGCCGATGCCGATGCCGATGCCGATGCCGATGCCGACCATACCTATCGGCCGAGTAAATATGGAGGATGAGACTTCTACTCTAGGTGGAATCGGTGGGAAAACGGGCAAGCTATACTAAAGATCACCTAATACAAGGGCGTCAAGTGTATCATCGCCGATTGATGAATGCCCTTGGAATTCGAGGCGCCGAGGAGCTTTTGCCAGATCAGTTGAACACCTTGCTTGATTGACAGCCTAACTCATAAAAGCATTCGCTTGAAGGGAACGTCACACTAGCTACAAGAAGATAGCAGTCAATACACTTGACTCGCTGTCGCTCTCAAATTGACTGTTCTTGAAAAGGGTTACATCGAGTGAAACAAGCGTGGCTACCTCTGGAAAGTCAGGCAATGTCTGCGAAGCTATTCGGTGATTAGAGGACTACTGGAACCATCACAGCTATGAATGCATGCAGCCTGCAGCCTGCAGTGTATTTGAGGTTGATTTGCAGCACGGAATCAGGGCATGGGGTCATGAAGCGGCAGCCAAGGTACTCGGAATCGTGGGACGCGCTAGCTTCGCAGGCATTAGAGGTCGTCTACTTAGGGTGCTTGAGAGCACCCACTGTGGTTGGTTACCAATTAAAACCTCGCTTCAGGGGTGTGCACCCACTTAGCTACCCCCCGCGAGATTTTTCTACCCCCCGCGAGCTGCAGCCCCCCCCTCACCGCATTCATCGCGCTCAGCCTAGGCAGATATAGAGACTGCCTAAACTAAAATGTCGGCAGCCGTCTCAAATTCAAATTACTGTAGCACTGCGAGACGATATCGGATTAGCGCCTAGTCATTACACTACTTAAAGTGCACGGTAAAGGAGAGCCTGAGGTGAGGTGTAAAGTATAAGTGAGTGGGCATCGGCGGGGCGGAGCGGGGCGGGGCGCCGCGGGCACTTCCAACAGTGGAATTCAGATCGAAATACAGCTTGTGCAAAACTGATCGCGAAATGACGCTATCCGCTTTACCATTCATGAGGTGTCGCGCTTCTATCGTCGGGTTCACAATCTTCTCCAATCATAGCTAGCACTATCACTGCGGCGGAGTCGACGAGGCTCTTACTATATAGCTGAACACTGCCACCACCAGGGGACAATCTCTTGGTTGTACAAAGGCAACACAGAACTCGGTGACACAACTGCTCAAGATCCGATTCGCCTGTAAGTATTTATACTTTTATTATTGGTGGTTACACAAAAGGACGTAACTTTCTCTTGGAAAAGGCTTTTAACTATCGGCTGTCCTCTGTCTACGCGCGTAGTATCTCGTCTGTTTCTGTATTTCAAGGGGCTCATCCTTCTAGAAAATCTCGGCACCTGCACTTCTCTCAGGTTTTTTGGCCCCATATATCAGTTACCTTACCATTTGGCTGTCGTTTCTTGACTCCACCTGGTTTCCTAACGCCTGAAAGAAGTCTCTGCTGTTGTACCCAAAGGGAAAAGTCCATTCTCGATATTTCGGCAATGTCACAGGTACTAGTTGCGAACAATGGGCCTGTTATCGGCCAGTGCTGTGACAAATGCCAAGAATTGCTCCGAGAGATCGCAGAACATGAGGCTCCAGGTACAAGGGAACGAACGACGATCCTTTTCCATAGCATCCAAACCCTCATCTCATCTGCGGATGATTGTCACCTCTGTAATCTTATTCTGTCTGAGTTGGACCCGGAGGTCGTTGAATACCAGCTCGACGACATTATCCTGCATCCAGAACATGCGCTGAATCAAATGACTGCAATCATTCCCCCATACGGACGTTCTGGAGCAACTTCTTACAACACGGTGGCTGTTTTACAGGAATCGCATCTCCGGCAGGGCATCGCGAATCATATCCCTCTATGCTATCTCGTGACTAAGAGCCCTGAAAGCTCGGTAACTGCTCGTGAGTCTCCTCTTTACCAAACAGACGAGTTCCCTGGTTTTCTTTGAAACAATAGCAGAGGAGTATCTCAACATCTCCGCTAACTGGGGTAGCAGGTCAGGTAGCACCTACGACAGCATCCTTCGAAACGTCCAACGATATCCACCATTGGATTAGAACCTGCGGGACCGGTCATTTGAACTGCATTCAGAGACTCTCAGGGTATCAGTTCCAACGTCCTACACGGCTTCTCTATGTTGGGACATTTGAGCCCCAGCCACTGGTTCAGCTACGTGAATTAGGCGAGATACCTCAACACGCCAAATACGTTACATTGAGCCATTGCTGGGGGCCAAACATGAACTTCAAGCTTGTTCCCGACAAATACGATAGGTTTCGCAGCGGTTTTCGTCTGAATGAATTGCCAACAACCTTTCGCGACGCCGTTGTGCTGACAAGATGTCTCGGACTGGAGTATCTCTGGATCGATTCGATGTGCATCATCCAGACAGAAGCTGAGTGGGAAAAGGAAGCCCTGCTTATGAAGGACGTCTACCGTGGATCATTTGTCAACATAGCCGCAAATGCATATTTCACTCCTAACGGTGGCCTCTTTCAGAAACGCAGTCCCTCGGCGGTGGCGCCTCTGAACGTCGATCTGACTCTGCATGGGAGCGGCTCTACTGTTATACTTTTCCCAAAAGCCGAGGGAATGGGCCATTTGCAATCAGCACCACTGAGCACAAGAGCTTGGACCGTCCAAGAACGGCTCTTAGCTCCACGAACGATCCATTTCCTTCGTCATAAGGTCATGTGGGAGTGTCTAAGTGCGCTCTGTTCTGAATCCGATCCGACCGGAGTGTTAGAAGTGCAATCCGGTGCAGCAGACGTTATTCGTGGATGGGCTTTGATCTCCGAGTCTGACGGTGTGCCTAGAGCAATCCGCTGTCTGTCGAAGTGGTACCAGGCAGTTCGACTCTATACTCACGGGGAACTCACCTTCCAGACAGACAGGCTGATCGCTGTCGCTGGCATAGCAGCCTGTGTCAAAGATCTGTGGAGAGACGAATCCATTACCTATCTGGCCGGGCTATGGAGCTATCAGTTAGCATGGTCACTTCTTTGGCATGTGTCCGAAGGGACAGGTGTGGCTGATTCCCGGGCTCCGAGCTGGTCCTGGGCTTCAGTAAGAGGGGAAATATTTACGTATTTCTTATACCATGACGGAAACTTTGAGTCATTAATTCGTGTAGTCGAGGCCGAGACCGACCTTATTCATGACTCTGACCCCTTTGGACCTGTACGTGGTGGTCACCTACGAGTTAAGGGTCCAATGTGCGCGGTGACGCTCCGGAATGAGTCCGATGCAGAGACGCCGCAACTGTTTCTGGGTGATCGGCCGTTGGAACTTAGCGAATCATATTTTGACAACGAGGCCTCTCTAAGACGCCACACGAGCCATTCGGATACGTTATTTCTTCTCGGAGTTACTCAATGTCTAGACCTTACCATGTTGCCGCTACGTGGATTAATCCTACAGCCTACGAGGAAAACCAAAGGCGAATATATCCGAGTGGGCTACTGGAGCACTTCACTCGACGATACTAGCTACAATCTGATTCAGGACGAATTTCGCTCAATGAGGTTAGATCCAACACAGTTTGAATCTCGACACATAGGCGCTTATATATATGGGATTGTCTATGAGATTAATATCATATAGCCGGTCCTTTGAGAGGCGACGCTTTTTGAAGTTGGACATGACAGAGGCTAGATGCGGAGATATTGTATGGCGTACACGAACGGCATCGGAAACTTGGAGTCAGGCATACGGGAGAGCGAAGCTGGAGTCACGCGGCCCTGATTCTTCAAATATTATCTGGAGGTCGTGGACGACTTGGTCAGAACTAAGATCCTCTAAGCGCTGGGACTTTACGAGGAACCATGTGCTCAGATAGAAGTAAAGGGTTTTTTTTTTCATTCTTCCATGTCTAGGGTTTCCTTCTCTTTTCTTTTCTTTCTTTTTCCCGGAAATGCTGAATTTCGACGTCGTTTGCGAATACTAGCACCTCGCCTCTTCTGATCGATTTCCTTGGACCCGGCGGCTGGGAAAATTGTGCCTGCCAAGGCCTCCGTACTCGAACCCCCTTGCGGGTCAGCCATCACCGCCTCGAGTGCGCATCGTCAGTTAAGCGAACTAGCTGCAAGTGGGATTTGGGTTACGAAAGCACCCGACTCAGGGGTCTGGGAGAGCGCCGCGTGAGGTGGCCCACAGCAGCATTGAAGTGAAGGCACTATGACGGCTCGTGTATTTCATTGTAGGCACACATTATAGTGAGCCATGCACCTCCGGGCGGTGCTGATGGGAGGCCAAAGTCCGGGACTTAGGCGACCAGGAGCCGGGGAACTAGATAGGGAAAATGTATATAGGTCGGCTATTCTACTCTATTTCTTGTATCTCGAGTTGTATCCTCTAGATTAACTTGAAGCATATTCATTCCGCCTGTTCTCACCAATAAAGAACACATACCAACACTACAAATGGGGGATAACGAGCGAGGGCATCCCAACTGTATTAGAGCCTGACAGCAAACCATGGGTCGTCTTTGAGCTCCTTAGCTGTCAACCGCTCCTCCGGAAGCCAACAGAGCATCCTCCTCATGAACGCGAGAAAATTGTCCCGGTCTTGCTCGGGAATGCACTCTGGCACCTCGTCCGCCAGGGTTCGCGAGTAGGGGATTAATTCCTCTCGCACAAACTTGCCTAGAAACCGGTAAGCCACAACCGAAGAAGAGTCTGGGCCGCGCTTCCGGACATACCACTCTCAGCGAAGAAAGGCCCGCCGAAGTACTCGGACGCATTGCTGCACAGCTTGCCTTGGGCGTTGTGGATTGGGGGACTCCACTGCCAACACCGCATCTGTTGCTCCCGCCGGACCAGTGCGTCCGGAACCGGACCGAGAATCGCAATCATTTCGGCCAAATGTTGTGCAGGGCTATATGGCTTCGTGCTGCTCACGTCACCTTGGAATAGCTTGCGACCGGCGAGCAGGTCCCACACCATAATGCCGAAGTTCCAGATATCGGCAGGGTAGGACCACGAGGTTCCTAGCAGGACTTCTGGCGCGTGGCAATGGTCAGGCTGTATGGGGTGGTTAGACCGATCCGCAGGTTGCGCGAGACCAAAGTCAGTAATCTTGGGATACATCTTCTTCACGGAGGACTGGTCAATTATGTCGCCGAAGTTGTTGTGGCAGCGGTAGATGATGCGTCCATCAACGACCTTTTGGGCCATGGGGTGTGACTTCTCTGCTTGTACGAAAGCCTCGAGAACTGACTGATTCTCGAAAGTCATCAAGATATTATCGAGTTTAAGATCTGCGAATTTTAGCTTTACACTAGTAGGGACGAAATGGGCAACTGAGAAAAACGAGATACCTGTATGAACGAGCTTGCACTCTGAATGCAAGTAGTCGAGACCCTCAATCAGGATTTGGATATAGATTTTGAAGATCGGCAGCCAATCTCGAGTCACTCGCTCATCGCAGACTCGGTTGCGTAGTAGCCACAGAGGATCTCTCATGGGCTCGAACGCCAAGCAAATATGGGATGAGCCTGTAGCGGACTGGACGCTGAACACTTCGTTGGCCATACACAAGATGGCGCGACCGCGGTGCTCTGGGCTTGCGGCGTCTATTCGGTTCGCTATCTCCAGCTCATGGTTGCTATCCTCGTCGCCTGCATTGTCACACGTATTTATCTTGATAACCGTGTACTTTCTCGGCTTTCGCCACTTCTTCCTATGATAGAATTAGCATCGCCGGCGAGGGGGAACATGGCGCGTCGGCTGTCGGTAGCCTCACAAGCTGATGTCTTCCGCCAGCCAAACAGTCGATGAGGATCCCCAGCCAACCTTCGTCTTCAGCTCGTATCGGTTGTCCAGCAGTTCCCCGGGATGAGCCGGGTAGAATGCCTTCCAGTTGTAGCCTGGCACAATTTCTTCGTCCACGAGCTCTGCCGTTCAGATTGCTCTCTGCGACATCGTTTGTCACCGTCTTATGACAAGTGTGAAGCCTTTCTCAGTCCTGGCTTAACACATCAAAATGGACTGCTGCCTAGGTTTAAATCAATGCAATTTATATTAATCAAATCAGTTAGGAGGAGCATGCTCAGCAGGTCGAGCTAATGCATTGTGTATTTCAATCAACAATGATAGATAGTTCTCGGCTGGCTTAGCCCCAAGAATTACCCACTTGCCTTTCACACCATCAAGACTATCGCTGGCAAAATTCGAGAAATACAACCGGGGGAACCGTACAGGTTTCTTTCGCTTGTCTGGCTACACAAGTATCCCGCCCTGTGTGAAGCTGGGAAATCAACGCCTAGGGCCTATATATCAAATAGTTCCTGTTAGGCCGTTTGTACAATTTTTGAGAAAGACCTATTGGCAAAGAGTCTAGATCTTTCAGGAGGCTGTGTTGGCAAGCCACTTACTCCTGTTCAACCACAATGCATCCTCTACCCTTCTTCTTCGGGCTATGATTTTTAATAAGAGTAATGATAGACTTGGATCACGTCCCAATTAGCATCTTATTAGCCTGGTTATGTACAAAAGGTGTAGATCTATCAGAAGAAAGTGTTTCTATTGTCGAGCACTGAATAGTGATTTGGGGTGGCATTCTGTCCGATCTAGGCTAAGAGTTGTTAGAAATCCTTAAAACCAGGCTGCCTATTGCTTTTGTTGTCTGTTCTTAGCTTTACAGCACTTTACACAGGGAAATGGAAATTATGGTACAGTTTCATCATGTATCATCTTGATTTTCGTTGCATCCTTCTATTGAGGGGTTGAACATGAATAAGCCGGTGGCGACTAATTTCAGGACAGAGCACAACATCAACCCGAAAGGTGAATTGACCTTGGCTCTGGTGAATGCGCCAATAAAGCTTCCGAGTGTCAGCATGGCAAGAAATAAGAATCTCCGGTTTCGCTGATGGTTTTTGAGCTTTGCGAAGTTGGAGTCGACCAGAAGATCAACCCAAGCTGCTGTAGCCATTGCCTGTTGATAATCAAAGTCAGCATTGTGTGGCTTTCAGCTCCCAAACCAGCGGCACTTCAACTTTCACTTACAGTGGTAATCTGAGGCACTTTCAATGGCCTAGCCATGGCCACCTGAGCGCCAGAGGAGAAAGCCAAAAGGGCGATCACCCCAAGTGCAGCTGGACCAGACGCAGTGACAGGAATGGCGTACTGTACCCCGGCCGCAGCAAACATGAGAGCCGTAGAGAAGATATTTGTTGCGATGAGCCACCACCGTTTACGAGGCCCTATGACGTTGCCAATCTGGCCCATAGCAAAGCAACTACCTATGAAGACGCCGAGGCTTACACAAGTGTTCGCCGTATTGAACAAATCGCTTCCCAGACCCGCTGCAGCCACCGCAAGCAGAACGGTATTGCCAGTCTGATTGGACGCAAAACAGAGGTAGTCGGGATAGCTTATGGCATCTTGGATACCAGTGGCAAGTGAAAGGATGAGGAGCTCGGTATCGACTATGATCTTCTCCTCCTCGCCATCCTGAATGACATCTTGCAGGTGCTTCCTGGTGATATTGGAGCGTAATATCATGATACTTCGGCTTGACTGAGAGATTGAGGGGAGTTTATTGGCTACTGTCCATGTTTATCAAGGCTATACTATTCTCCAAATATACTTTGTCGTCGGCCGGGTACGTGTTCCAAACCGTTCCGGTGCCGCGAATCGGTCGGCAGCCGGTCCACCGTGGGCCGCATATCGGGCGGAATCCACAGCCGAGAGCCTTGAGTTGTCTAGTATATAGTGCAAATGTCCGTCAGAAATCCCGGAGGCGCTGGAGCTCATCAATGTACCGTACACATGTCCCATTTGGTCGCCGATTCACCCAAGCCACATCGCCGAGATCCACATTGCGCTCGTTTCGGATCCACAATTCAGGAACAGGGTCTCCCGTCTGGACCACGAAGCGGATGTTTAGTGACCTGAGGCTCGCTACCAGCGACTGGATAGAATTCAATGCCAGAAGTGATGATGTTGGATATCACCTGCCGTGCCGAGGTGGCTCGCTGCGCATATGGGCGGTGCGGGACTGCCGCGCTGCGCATTTGTTGCCTGGCTGGACTGTAGTTGCGGGAAATAACAATTGGACGAGTCATGTCATTCCATAAGGGGCTGGTAGCGTCATAATCGGCCCATATAGAGGCTGCACTGTCCTAACCCAGATAACTAGTGGCGTGGCTGGCCTGTGGGTGCTTCTTTCAGGGGTTCTAAACCCCTAGCAAAGGGCCTAATGATTTCGTAAAAGGATGTTGCCCGTAATCGCAACCTACACGTCTATCAACCCCAGAAAATGATACTTCAACTGGTTGCCTAGCTCAATCAAGGTCAGCTAATTTACGCTAATTATCATGCTGATGGTTGACACTATTAATAAAGAAGCCTAGTACTATATAGAACATTAGCATGGTGAAACAGGGCAGCAGTGCCTACTGCTGACCAACGCCCACTCAAGTTATCTTATAGCATATATACAAGAAGAAGCCTCCAAGATATAAAAGAATATATTAAGAGTGATAGGATAGTTAATCTTGTTTTTTTCTCAATGATGATAGCTAAGTAAAGCGAGTAAAAATAAAGTAAGTAATAGTAAATAAGTACCTGACTACTGGTAGGGGCAAGACCATGCTCTCCCAACTCAATGGATTGCCTATTTGTTTAGAATGGTTTATAGGGCCGATTGGAATAGAGATATATGCCATGGCAGGCTTCAGGAACCGACAGGGGCCAGTTTGTTTCTCAATCTTTAGACGTGACTTCTTTCTCAAGTGCCGGTTCCATTGAGACCATTTAGTCTTCTAAAAACCTTTCGGTGCATCTCCAATAATACGAAGATGCAAACAGTGTGCCTAAAGATCTGATGTGAGCTTACCGCAAAGCGAAGGCGAAGAAAGTACTTACGAGCCTAGACACAGGAAGCGGGAACCCATCCTTTAAAGATCCACCTTCTGCCAGCAGCTCAATAAAGCTCCCTTGTTAATTGGACAATATTCTGCTTCTGGGTTGACGACATGACCCTGGTCTTGATAACATCAATGGGATTCGTGACTGTTGCGGCTATTACACCAACTAGTCATGTTGCTGCCAAGTGAGCTGGCAGTGTATCGTCCAAAGGCGTGTACCAAAGAAGTAATCGTTTGATGGTATCATAGGTCGCTAACAGACTCGCGGTTTGTACTGCTGCACGAGAGCTATTGGGAAGCCAGCCTCTAGACCAGCTCCGCAAACCTTCCTCGCGAACGATTCGAACCATTCCATCTATCGCGTGCTTATAGTTCCTACGCTGATGAGTGGGAAGGGACATGTCATGCTATATCCGAACATGGAGCACATCGACAAAATTGCCGGCAGTGCCACCCAGGAAGCCCGAAAACGTGGCAATGGCACCAAGATGTACAACGGTTGGATTTGGAGGTGCGCGCTGCTTCAAATCTTCGTAAACGGCAAATCGGACAGTACTATCGCTTATTTGGCGGAGTATAGATGCAGAAACTCCATTATAAAGACCGAAAACTCCCTCATAACGAATTATTCCCCTGAAAGTACTGCTCAATGTTTTGGCCGAGTCGCGGCTGTGTGTTTGGAGCCGAACCTATATGAATGATAAGCCTCATTCTAAAAAGAACGAAGAGACCGATTTGTGTGTGAATACCTTGACTAGGGCACGTCAGAAGGTACTGGATAGAGATGGTGAGGTAAGACTCACGGAGATCCAAGGGATGAGTCAAACAGGCGGCCATGCAGCTCGCGCTTCCCCCGAACTAGAATGGATACCGGATATTAGAGGCATTCTTTTCTTTTCCATTGGGTAGCTGCCACGATATTCTGGCCAAACTCTGCTGTGACTGAGCCATTATAATTACATAAAGACCGTGGCAATGTCCACGTACGAGGCAATCAAGGGCGTATGATCGAAGTCGATTTCAGAAAACATGCAATCAAGGCTGGTTAGATTTATGTCATGCTTCCTGGAGAAAGAGCGGCACATGTAACTGCAGTAACGAAATTGTTGCGCCAAAGGCGAAGTAGAAATCCATCAAGGATCCTACCAATTCTTAGGGGTTCGGCTTCTTATTATCTAGACCGGTTGTCGGTGTCCGGACCGCCGACTGAATTGAGCCGCTTCCGTGAGACTTGTAGAGAAACTGAGTGACAGTGAAACACATAGATCCAACTAAAAGTATGGCAATAAAATTGTGTTTTGCAGATCTACATCTATGGCCGAGATGGCAAGTCTTTCGTGTTCTTGATCGAATTTTTCACAGGCAACGAATCATCTGGCGACGGTATAGATGCTACTCAAACAAATGAAGCGTCTCAAAGAACCAATGCAAGGTGCACAGCACCAGATCGTTGACTGTAGGCAGTTCGCCTGTGCGAGCGTGTTCTCGGAATAATATGGACTGCTCATTGATAATCACATATGAAAAGAATAGAAGAACGTATCTATACTGTGTTGTCAGGTCAACTATTTCGTAGTCACGTTTAACGAGAGTGTTTCCATCGTCGAAGCCATCGGGGGTCCGTGGTATTTAGCGGCAACAGCCCCCAATAGCGATTCCCCAGAAGCATCATGCCAACTTCATACAAGATCCCTTAGAAGCTCACAAGATGTCACTTCCATTCTTATCTGATAAAGCCTTTTGGACCAGCCCAAGTACCCTTAACCATAGCTTTGTAGTATACCCATGGGAAAAAGTCCTTTTTGAGATGATAGAATGCTCGACGAGGAACACTCTGGTCAATGCCGAGAAGATCTCCGAAAGTTTCTTTAGGCTCGGCACCGTACTTGAATTCTGCCAGCATGACTTTGCCGTACTCTGTAATCAAAGGGCATGATGTATAACCATCATAGGAAGCGTCCAACTCTTTCCCGTCAAAAGTCTGTAAAATGTTGGATACCAAGATTGGTGCCTGGGAAGTTATAGCAGCTGCTGTTTTGGATGTGGGTAGACCTGAAGCATCTCCGATTGACCAGATATTCGCGTATTTCTTGTGGCGAGTCGTATTTTCGTCAACATCAACTAGTCCACTTTCGTTTGCCAAAGGGCTGTTGGCAACAAATGCGTGAGCTCCCATTTTGGGCACTACATGGAGTAGGTCAAACTGCCGCATGACCTTTTCGCCGTCTGGGCGTGTGAATAATGCTTTGTCACCGTTGATCTCGACAAGATCATGTTGAAAAAGACCTTCCACCGTGCGCTCTATGCGTAATTCGTCCAGCTTCTTGCTATACTTCGGTACGCCAAACATGACAGGAAGGCCCGTGGCAAAACTGATTTTGATCGGCGATGCACCTAAGTCAAGAGGCCGGAATAGGCCGTCTCGTTTCCACTTGTCCACCGCCATCCACAGTATCTTTTGCGGGGCTCCTGCACATTTCACGAGGCCGGCTGGCTGGGTGAATATGGCATTGCCCTTTCGCAGCTTGTTGATTGTGTGATTAACCTTGTCACATGTGTTGTAGCCGTATATAGTGGAGACAAGGGAATCAGGATCAGCGAGAGCCTCTGGCAGTCCCTTGATCTGGTCGTACTTGATGGCAATACCCGGAACTACTACAAGCTGTTCGTAGCCAATCTGAGCGCCGTTGCTCAGTGTGACGAAGCTGTCTTCGGGGCTAAAAGTCGAGACCGCCTCGTTGTAGAACTTCAGCTTCTTGTCGATTAGGCTGTCCAAAGACGAGCGAAGATCCTCTTTGTTCTTCAAGCCTCCACCAACAAGAGTCCAACCAGGCTGATAGTCATGCCATGTGGCTGGATCAACCACTGCAATGTCATCTTGGGCAAATCGTCCAGACCGAAGAAGCTGATGGCTGACGGCAAGGCCGGCCGTACCGCCGCCTATGATGACAACCTTATGGCTAAGTGAGGCTGGACGTAGCGGCGAGATTACTGCGTTGGTGGCAAATCGCCGCCTGGTGAAGCAGGTTATCGGAGCAGCCTGGGGAATATCGCGAGTCATAGCCGTCAAGCGGACTGCCTGTAATGCGCGACCGGCGAGCATGATGCAGTTCGGAATGTAAAGAGTGCGCGTTTAATGAGAGACAAAGCTCCTGGATCGAATCACCAGGTGTTCGGTAACACGAATGATAAGCAGGTAACAACAAAGCTGGTGACAAGATCGAGGATTAAACCCGAAACAATTACAGCAGATTACTTTGAGAGCCCATAAATGCAGGCTCTTTTTCAGTCAAAAGTCCAGACCTAGACAATTTGAGAAAGATTTTTACAAGCAAGCCGTGTGTGCAAAGGGCGAAACTGAAGTGAACTCTCACATTCGCCAGCAGGCTGGTTCTTTGCCACTGAGCCGTTCACAAGGCCGACATCCGCGATGAAATTGGACATCGGGCGGCCCGGGACGATCCGGCTGCGCAACATACGATTAATATATACGCAAAGCATGGCAGATGACAACCCAGTTTGGCTATGGTACTTGCATATGAGCACATTCCTGAGAGTACGAGACGGACGGGTCCCGTTCGGCGACGTGGGCCCCACCCGGCTCGGAAGCTGCCGCGCTGGGAATCGGTGAGTGATCGCCGACTACGTTGACGCACGTCGGCGACGGGTCAAGGTTGCCCTGGGATCTATGTAAAACGGCTGTTCGCGGAGGCTACGAATTTCGGTGTCTATGCCTATTTTCGTGACTAGCGAAACACCCTTTTTGTCTTCGTCATGAAGCTGCTACAGTACCATCTTTGCACCCAGCACCAGTCCGCGCCAACACGCCTTGGATCAATTCTTAGGACGAGTCGAAGAAAATCATCATCGTGGACGAATTCTCTAAATCAAATTCGCGGTGTGAATCGACAAGCTTGCCGCAGCCCGTCAGCTGTGCAAGGTATACCAGCACCCCTAAGCCTAGTTCCAAGTTTGAGGCACGCCAGTCGTTTGGCAAATTCAAGAACTCGACCATCAAACGCTCGTACGCAACGTACACTTCAAGCTCTACCAACAAACCGCGTTTCTTTCAGCTCTCAGGTACAAATGGCTCAGCAACCTAGAATCCATGACATTTTCGAGCCAGTTACGGGCACATGGCAATATGTGGTGGCCGACCCGGTTACGTCAAGAGCCGTCATCATAGACTCGGTTCTGGATTATGACCCTGCCAGCCAGGTCATCACAACAAAAGCAGCAGACTTTTTGCTAGCTCTCATAGATGAGAACGGGTATCACATTGACCGTATCCTCGAAACACATGCCCATGCCGATCACCTCACGGCCGCATCCTACCTTCAGAGCCGCCTCGGCCGGACGCAAGGTGAAAAGCCTCTCATTGGGATTGGTAAGCGCATCGTTCAGGTGCAAGACGTGTTTGGCCAGCGATATGGGGTTCCTGCCGACGAGTACAACGCGGTCTTTGACACGCTCTTTGAGGATGACGAGACATTTGACATTGGAGACATCAAAGGCACAGCCATTCACCTACCCGGTCATACACCTGATCATTTAGGATACATTATTGGAGGTAATATGCGCCTAAATCTTATATGCAGGCGTAAAAGAACTCGGGGCTGACTTGATTTTGACTCTAGACAATGTTTTCTGCGGTGATTCAGTTTTCCACGCGGATATTGGCACCGCCAGATGCGACTTTCCAGGAGGCAGCGCCAATAGCCTCTACCAGTCGGGTCGCAAGCTTCTTGACATGCCAGGGCACGTCAAAATCTGGACCGGCCACGACTATCCACCCGAGGGGCGTATCGCAACATCCTGCCTAACTGTAGATGAGCATAGAGAAAAAAACAAGCATCTTTCTGACGGGGTCTCGGAAGAAGAGTTTGTGGCTTTGCGCGAGGCACGAGATGAGCAAATGTCAGAGCCGAGATTACTGCACCAATCTCTACAATTCAACATTCGTGGTGGCCGCTTACCTCATCCGACACAGGTAGGTCTACGGTTGCTACACGTTCCCCTGAAGTTGAATGGTCTTCAGTGGTAGACACATCTCCGCTCCCTTGCTGGATCTTGATTATGTTTAACAAGTGCCATAAGTTCGTGTTCTGTTTTATAATTCTTTATAACTGAGGCTTCTCCTTTGTTGTACCATAGGAATCGTGTCTTTTGAAATCTCAAGGTAGCTTACCTAGCAGAATAAGGATGCTCGAGTAATCTAGAACTATCAATTCACATTATTTGTTGATTTATCAAGTGTAAAGAAGTGACTAGTCAATGAATTTTACAAAGTTACCTAATCACTATAGTATATATTATACTAGTAACAATTTATTATTATATCGATAGTATATAGATTAAATACATTTTATTGTATTTCTATAACTTTTTATTATTAAAATTAACATAGAGACTTTGCTTAATAACAAGGAGATGGCAGGAAAAGAGGCATGAGCTTGAATCATAAACCTAATTAGAGACCTTACACATGTGATGGATATCACAGGTTGCAAACCCTACATGATGGCTTCAGCACCTTTCAGCCTT